TCTTTTGCAATTTGGATGCCTTTTATTTCTTCTTCTTGTCTAATTACAATGGCTAGTACTTCCAGTACTATGCTGAACAGGAGTGGTAGGAGTGGGCATCCCTGTCTTGTTCTTGTTCTTAGGGAAATGATTTTAGTTTCTGTCCATTGAGTATAATGTTTTCTGTGGTTTTATCATATATGGATTTTATTATGTTGAGGGGAGAACCTTCTATTCCCACCTGGCTGAGAGTTGTTTTTTTTTATCAAGAAAGGGTGTTGGATTTTGTCAAATGCTTTTTCTGCATCAATTGATATGACTATGTGATTTTTGTCTTTCAATTTGTTTATGTGATGTATCATGTTTATTGATTTGCTGATATTGTACCATCCTTGCATCCCTGGGATAAACCCTACTTGGTCATTGTGTATGATATTTCTGATGTACTGCTGGATCGGATTTGCTAGAATTTTGTTGAGGATTTTGGCATCATGAGGGATATTGGCCTGTAATTCTCTTTCTTTTTTTCTTTTTTTCTTTTTCTCTCTGGTTTATTTTAACCTGTCAACTCAATATTGTTATTTGTTAAGAACTGAGGTGCCACTGGGCTGCCGGGTCACTGTCTCCATGTGAATGGCCTGGGTGGCGGGCACTGTAATTTTCTTTAATTGAGTTGTCTTTATCTGGTTTTGGGATTAAGGTGATGCTGGCTTCATAGAATGAGCTTGGAAGTTGTTCCTCCCTTGAATATTTTGGAATAGTCTGAGGAGGATAGCTTTTAGTTCTTCCTTGAATGTTTGGTAAAACTCCCCTGTGAAGCCATCTGGCCCCAGGCTTTTGTCTACTGGAAGCTTTTTGATGACTGCTTCAATTTCTTTCATAGTTATTGGCCTATTGAGATGTTTAGATTCTTCCTGATTGAGTTTTGGAAAGTTGTATTTTTCTAGGAACAGACATATAGACCAATGGAATAGAATAGACAACCCAGATATCAACCCAAACACTATGCTCAATTAATATTTGACAAAAGCGGTATGAACGTACAACGGAGTCAAGACAGTCTCTTCAATAAATGTGTTGGGAAAATTGGAAAGATAAATGCAAAAAAATTTAAACTAGACCACCAACTTACAGCATACACAAAAATAAACTCAAAATGGATAAAGGACTTAAACATAAGGTGGGAAACCATAAAAATACTATAGGAATACACAGGCAGAGAAATCTCAGACATATGCCGAAGCAGTTTCTTCACAAATACTGCTCCCAGGGCAATGGAAGCTAAAGAGAAAATAGAGAAGAAAAACCAAGATGGTGGCATAGGGTAGACACCCGAATGCAGCCTACCACAACAAATTTGAATTTAGAACTGGAAAATGGGAAACATGGTCCTGAAGTGCCGGACAGCTGGCTGAGAGGAGGCTCTACCATCTGGGAAGGAGAGAGAAGGCACACTGAACCTCAGGAACTGTGAAGGTGCGGTGAACTGTGTGCGCAAAAAGGCGGCCGCCAGACTTGGCTGCTGGCTTGCTTGCAGAGCTCAGAGAGGGCAGGCCAAATTCACTACTGGCTTACTACCTGCACTCAAAGAGGGTGGACAGCTAATGCGCGGCTAGCTTTCTTGTTCAGGAGGAAAACAGAACCACCCTAAAGCTGCCCCAGATGGGAAGAGGCCAGACTGTCAGGCAGTGGGTAGAGATCTCTTGGAGGTGTGTGAAGCCAGTGGCCATACTGTGGGACTCAGAAACCAGACCCTCATAGGGAGGGGCTGACTAAAGCTTGTCTGCACTACCCCGAGACTCTGCCCCATCCAAGCAGAGCACAGAAGTGCTTCCAGTGGCTAGCTTTCTCTTTCATCGTGAATAGGACTCTCCTAGGGAGGGACAGACACGAATCCTAAGCTTGTCTGCGCCTATACCAAAGAGGTGCATGCCTGCAACCAATCTTGCGGGATTCACTAAGGCTTGTCTGTGCCACCCCGAGACTCCGCCCCATCCAAGTGGAATACAGAAACCCTCCTAGCTGAGACACTTCTGATCCTCATAGCCAATTGGCTTGGAGATCAACGCTTCCCAGTGATACCAACAACAAGCAAGGCTTAACAACAAGACTGCGCACACAGCCCACAAAGGGCTACACCAAGACTGTCCATCTCAGGTAACTGGGAGGCTGACCCACTGAACCATATAGGACACCTTAGCACACAAAGCCACCCTACCAACTCAGGGAAGCTGTGAAAATGCTGAGACAAGGAAACAGATCACAAACAAAAGAAATGGAGGACAAGAAGTGACTAGATATAGAGTTCAAAACCACACTTAAAAGGTTTTTCAAGAATTTCTTAGAAAAGGCTGATAAAATAAATGAGACCTATGAGGATATGAAAAGGGATCAACTAGAAATAAAGAATACATTGTCTGAAATAAAAAATATTATACAGAGTCCTAAAAATAGAATGGAAGATCGCAAGAATCAAGTCAAAGATTTAGAACACAAAGAGCCAGAGGACACTCCTCCACAGAAGCAAGAAGATAAGAGAATCCAGAAATTTGAAGATAGTGTAAGAAACCTCTGGGACAATTTCAAATGAAATAACATCAGAATTATGGGGATCCCAGAAGAAGAGAGAGAGCAAGATACTGAAAGAATACTGGAAGAAATAGTGAAAGAAAACTTCCACCTCCTGGGAAAAGAAATAGACTTACAAGTCCAGGAAGCGCACAGAACCCCAAACAAAAGGAACCCACAAAGGACCACACCAAGACACATCTTAATTAAAATTCCAAGAGCAAAAGACAAAGAGGGAATCTTAAAAGCAGCAAGAGAAAAGCAGGTAGTTACCTATAAAGGAGCACCCATACATTGTCAGCTGATTTCTCAACAGAAACCATGCAAGCCAGACGGGAATGGCAAGAAATATTCAAGGTGATGAATAGCAAGAACCTACAGCCAAAAATACTCTACACTGCAAAGCTATCATTCAGAATCGAAGGACAGATAAAGAGCTTCACAAATAAAAAAAAGCTAAAGGAGTTCATCACCACCAAACCAGTATTGCTGAAAGGGGTTCTTTAAGGAGAGGAAGAAGATAAAGATTATGCTCAACAAATACATAACTATCAACAAGTGAATCTAAAAACCAAGGGAATTAAAAAACCTGATGAATAATATTAACTGTTGAATATAATAGAATCAGAGATATGGAAGGGGAGTGGACTAAAGATTCTCGAGAAAAGAAGAGTGGGGGGTGCAGGAAGAGCCTGAACAAAAACTGTGCACCTATGGATGAGGACAATGGGGTTTGGGGAAAGGGCAGAGGATGGGATGGGAACCTGGTGGAGGGGAGCAATTGAGGGGTAAAATAAGGAACATTTGTAATAATATGAACAATTAAAATTTATTTAAAAAATAAAAATAAAAAGAAAGAAAGAAAGAAAGAAAGAAAGAAAGAAAAGAAAGAAAGGAAAATTAATAATAAACTACCTAATACTACACCTTAAAGAATTAGAAAGTACAACAAGAAAATCTAAGAGTAAGTAGAAGGAAGGAAATAATAAAGATCAGACCAGAGGTGAACAAAGATGACAGAATAGGTAAATGCCTATCCTTCCTGCCTACAGAAATTACAACTAAAATACAGAACAACCATCATTCAGAACCATCTGAAATCTGTATGAATGGAAGTCCAACAAATAGAAAGGTAAATAAAAAGGCACATTGAACTTGGAGGGGTGAAGGTACAGAATGGGCTTGTCTGACTCCCACATGTAGCATTTTTTTTTTTTAACTAAGAAGGATATCTACAAAATCTTCCTTGAGAAGCAGGGAGTCCCAGCCCCACACTGTGCCCCCCAACCAGAGTCCCAGACCTGGGAAAAGAAGTACCCATAACTTCAAGCTATAAAAACCCACAGGGATTGTGGCTGAAAGATGTAGAGGCTGCTTGAATCCCAGGTATTGCTCTTAAAGGACCCGCACACAAACGTACATAGTCTGGCTTCCTTTGAGCTCCAGCATTGGAGGGAAGCTTTGGGGAAATTCAGGGACATAGAGAGAAGAGGTGTACTGTCTGGCATCAAAGTAGGAACTCAGGGGTGGCTATCTTATAGGGTGTTCACAGGGGTCATTGTTCCTGTGTTGACAACTCCCCGCCTCCATCTCTGAACTGACTGGCAATCTTATCTGAGTTTCCATCAGCATGACCTACACTGCTTGCCTGGTGATTCCCTGAAACCCTGCACCATCCAATTTGCAGGCCCACGCAAGCTGTTTGCAGAGGTGTTTCCATATGTATGGCCTAAGCTGGCTCAGAATTCAAACTTTTCTGAAACCTCTTAAACAAGCAACAGCTGGAATCAGCTTGCCACAAACATATCAATAAAAGGCCACAAACCAGGAAATAACAGTAGGATGCCTTGTGTCACAGTTGGGCCTTGCAGGCTACTTCCTAGTCCAATATAAGTAGCAGCCATCTGTATTGACCACTCTGTAGCTTCTGCTTTGAACCTCTTGGGAGGCCCTAGAGCCAGTGAACTAGGTGGACAGCTTCAGACCATAACAGATTACAACATTACACATCCGTGAGTGACACACTTAAGGGTCAGACTCCATGAGCACCAAAGCCCCACTGAAGCAACTCCTGCTCCATAAGTGTGTCTCCTGCACAGCCGCTCATCTATTGTAGACATACCTGGTCCTCACAGCCAGTTGGCCTGGAGGTCAATTCATCCCAGTGATACAACAGCAAATCAAGGCTTAACTATAACAATGTGCACACAGCCATACAGGGGTGCACCTTGAGTGCCCAGCTCAGGTGACTGGGGAGACTGAACCACTGGGTCCTACAGGACACATAATACAAAAGGTTACTCCACCAATTCCAGGAGACATAACAGTTCTACCCTAGAAACAGACACATTTTGACTCTGCAGTCAAAATGCAGAGTCAAAGAAACATGTCACAAATTAAAGAAATGGAGGCAAGCAAACTAATAGATACAGAGTTCAAAACTACAGTTATATGCATGGTCATGATTTATGGGGGGCCCTTCCCGTGGGCCTCTCATAGTGGACCCATGCCAAGGGAAGTTGCAGCCTCAAACCATTGCCCAGCCTCCTCACCCTTGGGCTGTGAGCACTGTGCAGAATAAAAAAAATTAAAATAAAATAAAATAAATAAATAAATAAAAACTACAGTTATAAGATTACTCAAGAATTTTCATGAGAACTTCAAGGGACTTAGTCAGGCCTTCAGGGATATTATTGAGAATGTCAGAGGCATGGAAAATAACCAGTCAGAATTTAAAAATACACTAACTAAATATAGAATAACAGGCATTTGACAGTAGAGTAAAGGATTCTGACAATCAAATCAATAATTTGGAATACAAGGAAGCAAAAATCACCCAATCAGAACAGCAAGAAGAAAAAGAAACCCAAAATAAGGAAGAGAGTGTAAGGAGCCTCTGGGACAACTTCAAGGGTACCAACATCTGCATTATGGTGTTACCAGAAGTTGAAGAGAGAGAGCAAGTAATTGAAAACCTGCTTGAAGAAATAATGACAGAAAATTTCACCTACTTGGTGAAAGATATAAACTTAACAAGGAAGCACAGAGAGTCCAAAATAAGAGGAACCCAAAAAGCCCCACACAAAGAAACATCATAATTAAAATGCCAAGGGTTAAACACAAAGAGAGAATATTAAAAACAGCAAGAGAAAAGCAGTTAGTTATCTACAAGGGAGTGCCCATACAACTGTCAGCTGATTTCTCAACAGAAACTTTGTAGGCCAGAAATATCCAAAGTGATCAATAGCAAGAACCAAGAACCAGCAAAGCTATCATTTAGAATTGAAGGTCAGATAAAGAGTTTCACAGATAAGAGAAAACTAAAGGAGTTCATCACCACCAAACCAGTTTTATATGAAATGTTGAAGGATATTCTTTAAGAAGAGGAAGATGTGAAAGAAAGGAGAAAAAAAATTTTAAATATATGAACAATAAAATTGCAATAAATGTATATTTATCAACTACTGAATCTAGCACACTTGTTTTTTATCAATAATTTTAAAGGACTGTTGCTGAAAGAGAAAGTAATTGAATCTATAGATTGCAAGGTTTAGAAGTATAGAATTTTTGTATACTTACTACAATACAAAATGCTAAGTATAAAACTGGTTTAGTGTGTGCCTCCATTCTAGGTAAGACTATAACTAAAATAAAGTCTTGCTATTTATTAAAAAAAAACAAAAAAAACAGGGAGGATCGAAGATGACGGCCTAGGTAAGCACCTAAGCTGCTGCCTTGCACGACAATTTCAAAACAACTAAAATCAGAACAGACATCATCCAAAAACATAGGAAAGCTGGCAGAGTGGGAAATCTACAACTAGAAAGAAGGAGAGAGGCTCATGGATCAGGTTGGAAGCCACAAAGCACTGAGGTAAGGTGATGCGCATGTAGAGAGGAAGTGAGGCCCAATGCCTGGCTGGTGGGAGGGGAAAGGAAGTCCCCAATTGCACTGAACCCTTTCCAACTGTACTGAACCCAAACCCGTGCCAAAACTCCATGGACGCAGGCTCATTCGGGTGGAGTCTGTTCAGTAGAGAAAGGCACCCAGAGACTCAGAGAGTGGGAGACTGGGGGATTCGGGAGCTGCAGCGGGCAGGGTCTACAGTCACGCATGCGTTTGAGTGAGTGAGCACAGAGAGGTCTGACCAGGGAGGCTGCTGCAGCCTCTCCATAGCAGAAGGAGTCAGAAGCTCCAGATTACAAAGACCTAACCCAAGCCCCTGGGGCACCCATGCTCTTGCACAGGGAATCTGGGATGGTCAGGCAGAAACTCAGGGGAGCCATGGAAGGCAAAGGTCAGGTGGAAACTCAGGCGAGCACACAAGGGAAGCCTACACTGTCAGCTCAGCCCTGAGACTCTGCCCCATCCAAGCTGAGCACAGAGGCTTTTGCAGTTTTGCAAGTCTGATCCTATAAGACTGTCTCCAATACAGAAGGTATCCCAGAGTAGACACAGCTGATACTCACATCCAATTGGCATAAAGGTCAATTCCTCCCAGGTATACCAACAACAATCAAGACTTAACTACAACAAGGCTCAGGTAACTGGGGAGGCTGACCCACTGGGCTATATAAGACACCAAACACACAAAGCCATCCTACCAACTATGGAAAGCAGCAAAAATGCCTAGACAAGGAAATAGATCTCAAATGAAAGAGATGAAAAATATAGAGTTCAAAACCATGGTTATAAGATTTTTCAAGAATTTCCTACAAAGGTCAATAAATTTAATGAGACACAACTAACAATTAAACATAAACTGACTGCAATGAAAAGTAATATGCAGAGATCCAACAGCAGAATGGAGGGACACAAGAATCAGGTCAAAGATTAGAAATACAAAGAGCCAAATTCTCTTTTCTTCTTGCTTCTCTGGAGAAGCAAGAAGAAAAGAGAATCCAGAAAGTTGAAGATAGTGTAAGGACCCTCTGGGACAACTTCAAGCGAACCAACATCAGAATGATGGGGGTGCCAGAAGAAGAGAGAGTGCAAGATACTGAAAACATATTTGAAGAAATAATATCAGAAAGCTTCCCACACATGGTGAAAGAAATAGACTTACAGGTACAGGAAGCATACAGAACCCCAAACAAGAGGAATCCAAAGAGGACCACACCAAGACACATCATAATTAAAATGCCAAGGGCAAAAAACAAAAAGAGGATCTTACAAATAGCAAGAGAAATGCAGTTGGTTACCTATTAGGGAGCACCCATACGACTCTCAGCTGATTTCTCAACAGAAACCATGCAAGCCAGAAGGGAGTGGCAAGAAATATTCAAAGTGATGAATAGCGAGAACCTACAGCCAAGATTATTGTATCCAGCAAAGTTATTCAGAATTGAAGGGCAGAAAAAAAGCTTCACAGATAAGAAAAAGCTAAAGGAGTTCATCACCACCAAACCAGTATTATATGAAATGCTGAAAGGTATTATTTAAGAAGAGGAAGAAGAAGAAAAAATGATAAAAATTATGATTAACAAAGACATATATATCAACAAGTGAATCTAAAAATCAAGAGAATTAAAAATCTGAGGAACAGAATAAACTGGTGAATATAGTAGAATCACGGGCAAAGCCTGGGAGTGGATTGATGATTATAAGGGGGAAAGGGGTGTGGGGGAGCAGGAAGAGACTGGATTAAAATCGTACACCTATGGATGAGGACAATGGTGGGGGGTGAGGGGCGATGGAGGTAAGGGCAGGGGGGGGGGGGGGACCGGATGGAAGGGAGCTATGGGGTGGGGGGGGGGGGGAAGAAACAATTGTAATAATCTGAGCAATAAAGATTTATTTAAAAAAAAAAACAGAAATAAATCACATGGAGATTTAAAAAACAACACAAAAGATCAATGAAACCAAGATCTGGTAGTTTGTAAAGATAAACAACATTGCTCTAGCTGGTTCGGCTCAGTGGATAGAGGGTCTGAGTTTGATTCTGATCAAGGGAACATGCCTAGTTTTGGGCTTAATCCCGTGCAAGAGGCAGCCAATCAATGATTCTCATCATTGACTTTTCTCTCTCTCCCTATTCCTTCTTCTCTGAAATCAATAAAAATATATTTAAATATATATATATTTATAAACATTGATGTACCTTTAGCCACATTCATCAAGAAACAAAGAGAGAGTACCCAAATAAATAATATCGGAAATGAAAGAGGTGAAGTAACAACTGACACCACAGAAAAACAAAGGGTTTGTAAACAAATACTAAGAACAACTATATGCCAACAATCTAGACAATAGCAAACTGGAAAAATTCCTAGAAAGATACAATCTTCCCAAACTCAATCAGGAAGAATTGAAAAACCTGAATAGGCCAATAACAACTGATAAAATTTAAACAGCAATCAAAAAAGCAGCAAAGAAAAACCCTGGCTTCCCAATGGAATTTTACCAAACATTCGAAGAACTAACACCTAAACACCTCAAACTATTCCAAAAAATACAACAAAAAGGAAAACTTGCAAGCTCTTTTTATGAGGCCAGCATTATCTTAACTTCAAAATCAGATAAAGACACTAGAAGAAAAAGAATTACAGGCCAATATCCCTAATGAACATTGATGATGAAATCCTCAACAAAATGTTAGCAAATTAGACCCAGCAATATATTAAAAAGATCATACATACACCATGACCAAGTGGGGTTTGTTCTAGGGATGCAAGGTTGGTACAATATTTGCAAATCAATAAACATAATACATCACATAAACAAATTGAAAGTTGAAAATCACATTATCAGCTGAAACAGGTTTGGCTCAGTGGATAGTGCATCCATCTGCAAACTGAAAGGTCCCAGGTTTGATTCCAGTCAAGGGCATGTACCTTGGTTGTGGGCACATTCCTGGTAGGGGGTGTTCAGAAAGCAGCTGGTTGATGTTTCTCTTTCATCGATGTTTCTAACTCTCTATCCCTCTCCCTTCCTCTCTGTAAAAAAAATCCATAAAAATATATTTTTTAAATGATCATACCATTTTTTTTAAATTGATATGATCATATCAATAGATATAGAAAAAACATTCGACAAAATCCAACACCCATTTTTTATAAAAACTCTCAGAAAAGGGGGAGTAGAGGATCACACCTCAACATAATAAAGGTTATATATGACAAACTTACAGACAACATGATACTTAATGGGGGGGGAATAAAACCATTTCCCATAAGAATACAAACAAGACAAGGATGTTCTTTCGCCACTCTTATTCAACATGGTACTGGAAGTCTAAGCCACAGCAATCAGAAAAGAAGAAAACAGGAAAGGCATCCAAATAAAAAGGAGGACCCAAAACTGTCATTATTCACACAACACATGATATTGCACACAGACAACACTAAAGATGCCACCAAAAAGCTACTATATTTGATAAATGAATTTGGCAATATAACAGGATACAAAATTGATGCCCAGAAATTGATGGCATTTTTACATATTAATAATGAATTCTCAAAAAGACAACCTAAAATATTCCCAGTTACCATTGCAACACAAACATTAAGATACTTAGGAATAAACTTAATCCTGTGGACCAAAAGACTTGTACTCAGAAAACTATGGGACATTGAAAAATGAGATAGA